TTTTGTAAATGACCTCTTTTCTGTCTAAATAGCCAACCCTATCCTTAGGGTGAACTGCTCTTCAGACAATTCTCTTGCGTTCGAAGACGACCTGGCGTGCCAGTGTCGAAAATTTACAATAAAGTTTATTCCTATTTCCTGAAGAATCTCTTCTATCAAATTTTCATGCATGTTTACTACGAAATATATTTGGATCTATGAGGAAAAGCATCCTACCTGCATAGTCATTTGTATAGCCTAGTTTTTGCAAGAAAAAAGTTCTTTCAAAAGTCGGTGTCCTGACTTGGGTTTGGGCATCCTGGGTATAGACTGCACGATAGTTAATACCACAACCTTACTTTAGTAACCTTCCCGAAATGAAAGCAAATTTACGGTTTTTTGGTAAATTATCAAAGATGCAGTACTCTGCTTTCAGGCTACTTTGATATTACTCTCATCTGTAGGGCATTACATACTCTATAAACAGTTGCGTAAGGCCGGCCCGGTTCTTGTTAGCTTGCCTAAACGCGTAGTCCTCGAAACTAAATCAATAACTGTAGTGAAACAATGGACACGGTTCTATAATTGAAAGAGATTATAAAAACACAAATATTACGCTTGCAGACAAAGTTTCCAAGCTTGGGAGCAGCGAGGTAATGCCAGTTTTTGCGGGACCAAGGTGGGAAATTCAAATAAATAATACGAGAGTTGAGGAAACAAAAAGGCCGTAATTCCCCAAAAAGGAGGACAATCATCCGTAGGATAAACAGTGTGATGTTGACTAATATATAAATGTCAAATAATTGGCCTTAACATTAAGGTAATGCGTCTAGTGTTAAAGAAGGAGGTAACTGGTTATGTTAATTTTCAATGGATGGAAGCTGGGACAACACGAATTCCCACCTGGGAGCGTACATCTTTTGTCTTTTTCATAGGTGATATAAAGGACAGCAGTGTATGCCTGGTAACATGGGCGGCTTTCATTATTTGCACATGGTTTGCCCTGAACAACCGTAGCATAGGGG